TACCCTACCCCCACCAGGGTTGTTTGGTCATTTATTTACCCCCTCCCGCCCCCAAACAAATCCCTATGGCCCCAGCATCTCCAGCAAACTCACCCCAGCAGCCTACGAGACCCTGACTGCTCAAACACACTCTGGACTTATGAGATCACACTGGCTAAATGCTGGGTCTGATACATGTTCCTGGCTTATAGAAGTGTGCCCTTGCCTGCCGTTCTGACCCTCACCCCGCCCCTTGCCCCTCGTGCCACCCCTTGCCCTTGACCCCCACTCTTCACCTCCTGCTCAGCATCCACCACCAGCAGCTCAAGCACAAGCAAAAGCATGAGGGGGGAGCATGAGCAGCAGGGAACATGAGCACCTGAAGAGGCCCAATGAGTGACAAAGGGGGTGAAACGACCAACAAAGATGGCGAACGAGCAAAGGAGGGGCAGAGGGGTGGAGGGGGACCACCTGTTCCCCTGAGCAGAAACAGTGCACTATGATGCGCCGTTTCTGCTCGTTTGATCTTTATTTCATAGCAGGTGGCTAGTAGAGCCACCTGCAGCATGTATTTATTCTAATACAATATAATACAATTTTTTTTTGCATTTTTTCGCTACAAAAGGGCAGGGACCAAGACCTGAGCGGAAACAATGTGTTGTGATGCGTCGTTTCAACTCATTTTCTCCTTATCTCGCAGTGTGGGTGCTTCTACCAGCCACCCACACTATGTATATATTTTATTACAATTTAATACAATTTTATTGTAATTTTTTCTGTGTGCTGTGAGACATTCCCGAGCTTGCCAGATGTCATGACAGACGACAGTGAGAGCATTACAATGGATGAGTCATAGTAATTACATGATAATCTAAAAATAGTTCCATGGCCCCCAAAAAAGGCCACGTCATCCAAACTGCCCTGTCCCAATCCACCCATTCCCGCCCCCCGACAATGGGGGAAATGGTGCACAACGATGAGGAAAATATATTTCCTCATTGTTGACACCTTTTCCCTGCCAAAAACAAGGGCGGGAGCACCACAAACAACAAGAGACAGTGCTTGGGCACTGTTTTCTGCATTGTTTGTGTGTGTTGATGGGTCCCGCCCACAGCTGCGAGCCCCGGCACACCCGGCAAAGCCATCCCCTGCGCCTCAGGAGGTGGACTGTAAAAATACAGTCCTGATCTATGAGGCTGGCCTGTAAAAATACAGTGTTTGATATAGAAATGTAGTGGACATGGCTGTTTTAAGATCATGTTCAATGAACCCTGTTGACATGCTAAATTTGGATCACACTGACTAGAGCTGTGGGATGTGGGATTCGGAAACCCTGCAGACCCATCAATGCAGCCAGAACCTGAGAAGTAGGGAGGGGTCTTCCTCCAAGGGTGCAGTAATTGAGGAAGATAGGGGTGGTAGTAGGGCTCAGAGGTGATATTTCAAGGCTAGGGAGGGGGGGAATGGGGGACAGAGTGATGATGGAAGGAGGTTGAAAGGGCGATGTGAGTGGCATATTTTCCTTTCTTTCTCTATTATATGAGGCCACAATCTACTAAGCGATGTGCCACTGGATGGGCCAGCCAAAAACATGCCGAGCGGAGCTGGTTGCATACTGTACATAATCAGGAAGCTGGTCACCTTATGGTGCATTTAAAATTCTGTTTGAAGTAGACACTTTCTCATTATAATTTTATGTAGTCCAATAGATAAATGTCTTGGACATGTGTGTGCAAAATTTCAATATTTTAGGAGACCTTCCTCATGTTCTACGAATATTTTGCTGAAGAGTGTGCCAAACTGATGCTGAACCAGGAAGCTGGTCACATGGCGGGAGTTCCAAAGTATAAAGGACCTTTGTATGAAATTGCCACAGCGAAATGCCGATTTTGGGTGGAGGCAGACATGCAAAATAATTTTATATTCAGAGTGTTGAGCCACGTTTAAAAGATCTTTCCGTTCAAAATGGTGGTTTGTGTCGAAAAGCCCTTTGTACAAAGAGTTATATTTTGACTACAACCAGGTGCAACACGATGGTCTCCATTTGAACTTGACCACCACAAAGACATTTTTTTATTTAAAATCGAGAACTTTCCCCCAGAAGCTCCCTCATTTAGAATGGCTTGACCTATTGAAAATGCCTCTACATTTAAAGTATAAAGGGGCGAAACAAAGAAAACCCCCTTTATACTTTAAATATACCAGAATTTTTGACACGTGTGCACACAAAGCATGGAGATGACCAGGTAAAATTTACTTCCATGCTAAATGTCCAGATTTTGTCCACAATTGTGCCCATTACAAGTGGAGAGTAAAATGAAGATCACATTTCCATGGGATTCTCCAGTTAAAGTAGGCAGATCTCTCCCACAGTCTTCTACACTTTGAACAAAGATCTCTTTTACACATTATTCACACCTTTAAGTAAAAAGATTTTTTTGATGACAGTGTCCACTCAAAGTGTACAATTCCATAGAGCATTCACATAGAAATGATGTTTCTACGCTGGAACCCCCGTCATGTCAGGCCCTGAGACTATCTCAAATTGTAGTGACCCTGACCGGACTCAATAGTGTCACCTAAGTGGGAGATAAGATAATGATGACCAGGATCCTGGTCACCGTCATAGAATCATTCTTGACATCAAGCTACATGATACACAATCTTTGTCATGCCTGACAGTGTTCTCTATGGTTAATATACCTATATCCCTGCTGACAGGTGAGATATTCTTACTGAGAACAGGAGTAGTCGAAACAGGCATAAACTCGACTCATGAGTCGATTGAGGCTCAAGATAAATTCATAAAATTATTTGAATACTTGGAATACATTATGTGGCTAGTTTTTTATTGTTTCAACACCCCTCTCAAATGACAGAAGATATATTTGAGCTCAGAGTCAACTCTTGTTTCTTCAATGTCCCAATTCTGATACATCATTTTGGCATGCGGCTGACAGCAGATAAGAGAGGGATAGAAGGCATATTTACTTTGTATTATAAGGATGAGAAACTTGTAATCACATTTTAGAAAGGATTTTGTGAGTAGGTAGTCAACTCGACAAGAGAGCCACCATTTTGTCTGAGGGAAGCAGGTCCAAAATAAGAAATTCCTCTGTCACACATTCACACAGCCCAAAATACAGTCCTCTCATCCATAAAACTCACTTATTCCTTACAGAAATAGCATACACTTAATGTTATGACCTCAAAATTTTGTATCATGCAAAAAGAATGGAGGTAGTAGTGACCGTGGATGTTGAAAATGCGGAGTGACCAGCTTCCTGGTGTGACCAGCTTCCTGATTATGTACGGTAAGACTTGAGACATCATGTGCATGGGGCGGAAAGTCAAAACCGGCAGCTTTGCCATCCCAAGGGTTTTCCTTTTGCGGACGAGGACCAAATGATGACCGAAATGACTGAACACATGTCACGTGACAGAAAGAGCCAAATTGAGAGAGATTCCTGAGCAAGAAGTAAGCTTGCTGGAAGTGCACCGCAGAAATGATGATGAGGTGAGATGGGTGCCAAGCAGTTTTGGCAAGGTTTCAGATGAAAACCCTGGCCAAAAAAGTGCACAGAACTGCTTCCAGAACACCCTTGAAATGACCAATTTTTCTCAAAACCTCTGGCCAAATTTGATGTGACGAGGGACCGAGGCTGGATTTTGGCCACGTCCACCAGCCAGGACGGCCAGAAAATCCAAAAATGGTGGGTATCTCCAATGTCACAGGTAGCCAGACTAGGTGTGACACAGGACAAACCTTCGATTTTGGCCATATCCACAAGCTGTGTGATGCATGACGGCCATTAGATTCGAAATACTACAGTATATTACTAAGTACCTCAAGTTCAACGGTTTCAGACCCAAGACTACGCCTCGATTGGCATATGCACTCGAGAAGGCGACCGCAGTTACCCGGTTTATTCAAAACCTTTTGCTCTTTTAATTATGCCTCGATATTTATTCTCGTCGCTGAATATGAATGTCAAAAAGAAACGAAGTCCTTTTGGCACATCGTGAGAACATCTTTCCGGAAGTAGTTGAACACGAGGACATCCTTTCGGAGGTAATACGCAAACCCTGCTTTCTTCCTCCACATTGTCGACAGCATTCCCCTCTTTCTAACGTCGAAGGAGCTGTAAACTCTCCCTTCGAAAACGCCATATTCGGACATAATAACTTGGTCTTATGACTGTCAAGAAGCGGGTCACTAATGTATCGTATTGATTCTGTTGACCATCTTCGTCCGGACGAGAGCCTTGCCTCATCACGCGTTTGAATCTCGGCGTTGCGGAAGATAGCTTCTTGGAAGCTCTCAGTGCGGCTTAAGACCGAGATTACGACGGAGACAACGGTCGAGGAACCAAGAGACTATACGGTACTTGTCGGCGTCGGTACTGCCACTTGCAGCTGCGACCTGACTGGTTTGCGTTCTTTCGGGAGTTGTGGTGGATGCTCCAAATCCCGCCTTTCGATAGTCCGGAAGGTACACCGTGAACGCCAAATGAAGCGTCATTCTGGACTCTACAAGGTACGCAAGCAACCCCACTCTGATCTCAGTGCCCTTCTTCATGACACGACTCGGAAAAATCCCGCACTTTTAGGCAGCATTACAGCTTGGGCTCGGTCAACATCGCACCCGGCACCTGTTGTTACGAGCCCTCCACGACATCTCTCGTCGCGTCAAGGTGATCTTGGACCTAACGAATATCGCGTATCCACCATCCTCGTTCCGTGGATTCCCCGCAGAGCGCGGGGAAAACAAGGTGAAAGTCGGTCGATGTACCTTGGGTGACCGTTATAAAGGCATCCTCCTTGCGAGGCAGTTCTGTGCGCCGTCAAGCCCACTCCACGTTAGTCGTACTTCTTCGACCCTTCCTTTTCTCGGATGTATTATCTGAAGGCAGTCGCTTGTGCGTTGGTGCTCTTGCCCACGGCCGTACTCTCCGCCCCTCAGGCTGCTGATGCCAACCCTTACCTCGGAAAGGTCCCCTTTGCCAACAAGGGATATGCTAAGAAACTCGAAGAGACCATCAGCTACTTCACCAAGCGGCGCGACCTCCTGAGCGCTGCAAGAACGCGCACTGTTCAGAAGATACCCACTTTTGCTTGGGTCTCAGAATCCCAGTCTGTAAGTATATTTCATACATTCAAGGCGTTTGCGATGCCAACATACAACAGATCCCAAGCATCAAAGAACTTGTCAGCGACGCTCTTCGAGCGCAGACACTGACACGGAAGAAGCAGCTCCTTCAAATTGTTGTCTACAACCTGCCCGATCGTGACTGCTCAGCCAAGGCATCCGATGGAGAGTTCCACCTCGACGATGATGGCTTGAACAAGTATAAGGGTTTTATTGACTGTGCGTATTTTCTGCCCTTCTCGCATGTCTCATCTCACGCGTACTCCGCTCGTAGCAATTGCCGCCGAGTTGCAAACGGTCGCTGCTAAGAAGCTCAGCTTCGTCCTCATCCTCGAACCCGATTCACTCGGCAACATTGTCACCAACCTGAATGTGCCCAAGTGTGCCGGCGCAGCCAGTGCGTATAAGGAAGGCACCTCATACGCCATTGCTAAGCTACAAATTCCCAACGTCGCCATCTACCTCGACGCCGCGCATGGCGGCTGGCTCGGCTGGGACGACAACCTCGCCCCTTCCGCGACCCTCTTCGCCGAAGTCCTCGAGGACGCAAAGACAATCACCCCAAACGCCACCGTTCGCGGTCTCGCCATCAACGTCTCCAACTACAACCAATACGCCTCCGTCGTCCGCGAGAACTTCACCGAGTGGTCGAATAGCTGGGACGAGTTCCATTACGTCAACTCTCTCGCACCGCACCTTGAGACCTCCGGGTACCCCGCGCATTTCATCGTCGACCAAGGACGCGCTGGACAGGGGGCGATCCGCACCGAGTGGGGCCAATGGTGCAACATCAGGAACGCTGGCTTCGGGATTCGCCCGACCACTGATCAGGCTGTCCTGAACAACACATACG